CCCCCCACACAAATTCACTCTCCTGCTGGTGCTAGCCCATCCAAAGTGACAACTCTTTACATAGTCAAGTCGGGCTATTTCCTGCATAGATCCAGGTTTTCTCACATCCCCCCCACCCCCATACACACACAAACTCACTCTCCTGCTGCTAATAGCTCATCTAAACTGACCACTCTCCAAGTTTAAATCCAAGTTAAACCAGAACATCTGGGGGGGGGGGGGTAGACTATGGATGTAGAAGCCCTCTACACCAACATTCCACACAAAGATGGACTACAAGCCTCAAGAACACTATCCCCGATAATGTCACGGCTAACCTGGTGGTGAACTTTGTGATTTGTCTACCCATAACTATTTCACATTTGGGGACAATGTATACCTTCAGATCAGCGGCACTGCTATGGGTACCATGGCCCCACAGTATGCAACATTTTTATGGTGATTTAGAACAACGCTTCTCAGTCTCGTCCCCTAAAGCCCCTACTCTACTTGCGCTATATTGATGACATCTTCATCATCTGGACCCATGGAAAAGAAGCCCTTGAGGAATTCCACCATGATTTCAACAATTTCCATCCCACCACGGTAAACATCTGATGAAGTGAGCTGTAGCTCACGAAAGCTCATGCTCAAATAAATTGGTTATTCTAAGTGAAATATCTTTTCTTTTTGAGTTAATTGTGATACAGGAAAGAGTTGATTAGAAATATGGATGTGACAGTCTGCACTCTTATGTTCACCCCTTTTGCAGGACTATGATAAATTGTGTATAAAGTATGCCTTGTGAGGTATCATTTGAAAACTCGTAATTTGCTGATCATTATTGTCCTGGTAAAATATGTGTGGGAATATTGCATGTAAAGTTATAAGATTCCTCTGTATGGTATTACTAAGACATGTTTCTAGTCTGGGGGAGCAGCCACAAACCAGGTTCCCAGAAACAAAAGTCTAGCCAATGCTTCTGCCAGGTGTCAACAAAATCAAATGGATCATCACCCAATTAAGTGGCCATTCTTTGGCAGGAAATAGGATATGGGCAAAAATCTACATCTTGACAAAGAAACAGCTGCCGGTTCCCATTCACACAGACTTGCTGCCTCCTGAACCTGAGATGGAGATGATTCTCGAACTATAAGAAGGGAGAGCAGACAACCCAAATTCTCTCTCCCTTTCTCTCTACCCACTGCATCAATAACACTTTAAGAACAAAGGAAGCAGTACTGGACTGGGGGAGGGATTGAAAATGAAAGAAATTCAGCCAGTAAGACTTCTGAAACAGGTGGTGAGAGAGATCTTTGCTTTGAATTCACTTCGCTTGTTAAGTTAGGTATTAGTTACGCTTTATTTTTATTTTCTTGGATCTAATTCTGACTTTTATGCCTCATTACTTGTAGTCACTTAAAATCTATCTTTTGTAGTTAATAAATTAGTTTTATTGTTTTATCTAAACCAGTTTGTTTGGATGAAGTGTTTGGGAAACTCCATTTGGGATAAGAAGATTTCTGCATATCACTTTCTATTAATAAAATGACAGACTTTATATGAGCTTGCATTGTCCAGGAGAGAGCCAGGCAGTACAAGATGTACATTTCTGGGGGAAGTCTGGGACTGGGAATTTACTGGTGTTGCTCTGCAGTGTAATTCATGAGTGGCTGGCCACAGCACTCATACAACATAACTGGGAGTAACTTACATGCTGTGTGAAAGCAAAACAGTGTAAAAGGCACCCCAGGATGGAGAACTGAGGGAGGAAAGCCGTTCATTGGTCCAGCTCATACCCTAAGTCAGTGGTCGGCAACCTTTCAGAAGTGGTCTGCTGAGTCTTCATTTATTCACTTTAATTTAAGGTTTCGCATGCCAGTAATACATGTTAACAGTTTTTAGAAGTCTCTCTCTCTCTATATATATATATAATATAACTAAACTATTATCGTATGTAAAGTAAACAAGGTTTTCAAAATATTTAAGCAGCTCCATTTAAAATTAAATTAAAATGCTGATCTTACGCCGCCGGCCCGCTCAGCCTGCTGCCGGCCCGGGGTTCCATTCACCTAGGCTGACAGCAGGCTGAGCGGGGCCTGCGGCCGGGACCCTGGCTGGCAAGGGACCGGCAGCAGGCTGAGCGGGGCTGGTGGCTGGGACCCCAGACTGACAGTGGGCTGAGTGGCTCAGCCCACTGCCAGTCTGGGGTTCCATCCACCGGCTGTTGCCAGCCAGGGTCCCGGCTGCTAGCCCTACTCAGCCCACTGCCAGTCTGGGATCCCGGCCCTGCCCACATAGAGTGGATACCTACCTTCTCCCTGGTTCTAACCCATTCTCTTCCTCTCTCTCTCTGCACTGAGCTGAGGGTGGGAGTGCACTGAGCACAGGGCTGGGGGTGAAGGAGCAGGCTGGGGGTTGGGGTGTACGGTCTGGCCAGGAGCTAGAATGAGGGAGGGGGCTCAGGGTTGGGGTGTGGAGTGCTTACCTGGGCAGCTCCCATTTGGTACGAGGGGTGCAAGTGGGAATGTGGTGGGGGTGGTGCTGGAGCTCCTGTTTGGTGCTCAGGGTGGGGGTGGGAATGTGGGGGGTGTAAGAGTCAGGGCTTGGGGGGGCTGGGTATGTGTGGGGGGTGTAGGAGTCAGGGCAGAGGGTGGGGGTGTGGGGGGTTCCAGGAGGGGTGGGGTCTGGGTATGTGTGAGGGGTGCTGGAGTCAGGGCTGGAGTCGTGGGGGGGTGCAAGGATCAGGGCAGGAGGCTGGGCTGTGTGTGAGGGGGGTGCAGGGGTCAGGGCAGAGGGCTGGGGGTGTGGGCTAGGGTCGTGGGGCTGCTCCCAGCCCCCTGCCCAGAGCGGCTCACGGCAGGGGGCTGGAAGGGATATGCCCTGATTCCACTCCCCTTCCCCAAGGCCCCGTCCCCACCTCATCTCCGCCTCCTCCCCAGAGTAGTGAGTGCGCTGCAGCTCCGCTTCTCCCCCTCCCTCGCAAGGGCCATCAGTTGATTGGTGGCAGGGAGGGAGAGGAGAAGGGGCAGGGACCCAGCACGCTGGGGGAAGAGGCCAGTGAGAGGGGACCTTGCCTGTCCTGCAGCAGCAGCCAGCAGGACCAAGCTTCTTCACCCTGCCCCTGCAGGGGTGGGGGGGGGGCCACGTGGAGAAGAGCGGGCCAGGGCAGGCAGGATTTTTAATGGCACGCTGCTGCCTGTCAGGGTCCCGGCCGCCGGCCCTGCTCAGCCTGCTGCTGGCCTGGGTTCAGCAGCGGGCTGAGCAGGGCCGGGACCAGGCAGGCAGCAGCGTGCCATTAAAAATCAGCTCGCGTGCCGTCTTTGGCACGTGTGCCATAGGTTGCCGACCTCCGCCCTAGGTAATGCCACACTGGAAAGTATTTTTTCTTACGCTAACTTAGAGTTTAGGAAAGACCCAACATTCTGTTTGGACAAGGGAGGACAAAGCCCAAAAGATGTATTTAAAATGAAGGCACTTTATTATTATTAAAAACAGGAAACAAGGGAATTCTGCTTGTGTGTCCCAGCCAAGTTCAACAAGGGAGGCTCTTATAATCAAATGCTGGTGTTAACATTTACAATGCACCTCAAAGGCAGGTGTGTGTATGGGGAGTATCAATAGGTAAGCTGGTGTTCTGGGAACCATTCCTTCCCAGAGGCGCATGACCCTCAGTACAAGAAACAGAGATGTGCAGAAAGAAGATGTGTTAGCATTTTATAAATATTCTCTAACTTAAGAGTGAGGGAAGGATGATCTAGTATTGGACTGGATCTCACAAGACGTGGGTTTAATTCCAGGCTTTTCCAGAGACTCCTTGTGTGGCCTTCGTTTAATTGCTTCACCTCTGTGTCTCTCACTTCCCCTCTGTAAAGCACAGAGAATACTGACCTAGCTCTCAAGAATATTGTGAGCTATTACATTAGTGTAATTAGTCCTCCATTAGTGTTTGAGAGGACTAAAAGCTTGAGTGAATAAATCGGTAGATGTAGACAAGAAAACATCCATTACAGCTAAATTTCAGGCATTTAGTATCAAACTCTTTTTTATTCCAAGAAATACTTTTGTTTAGTTGAATGTAAATTGAATTGTAATGGATTGTTTCATCTGGAGAAACCATTGGATGGAGGCTCTTGAGGAAAGAGACCGCCATTCTCTTAAGGGAGGCAGAGAAAGATGAACACGACAACAGCAAACGTGCAGGTGAAGGGGAAAGAGAAGGCAGTGTGCTCTCCCCTCTGAAGCAGTGCCGCAGAAGGTGCTTCAGGTACTGCTGAGGCACAAGAGGGTGAAATGATCTGTCCTACAGGTACAAGGCCCCATCACAGGAATAGATTCAGTGATCCCGATCCAGATGCAGTGTTACCAAGTTAGGACGAATATTTTTAAACCCAAGTGCCCAAAAGTCACGTACCTAAATACATATTTAGACACATAGATAAGTGTCTACATTCTCAGAGGTGCTGCACGCGCATCCGTGCCAATAGGAGCTGCAGGGGCTTGAGACCTCCTAGTTACTTGCCTACATTTGAAAACACTGACCACAGCTGCCATTGGCTGCAGTGAGATTTTGAAGATGAGACCTGTCATGGGCTGGGATTTTAAAAAGCATCTTAAATGACTCAGGTGTACTATTCCTGTTCACTTTCTCTTGACAGTGAAAGTCATGTAGGTGCTTTTGATAATCCCACCCAGGAGCCGTACAGCTCAGTATGGGATGGAGTGGTGCCCAGTGCCAGCATAACACTGACCCTCTGCTCAGCTGGAAAGATGGATTTTTTAATTATTTTAAATACTATTGTGGTTGACTCCAAAATACCATGAGCGAACTTCACCCACAGAGAAAACACAACCCTATGGCTGCAATGATAACCATTAGAAGTCATGAGGTGGTCACAGGTTCCAAGGGCACAAGTCATGGAAGTAAACCAGAAATACCAAGTCACCCATAACTAAGAGCAAAGAGAAACAGCCTAGTCTTAAGTCAGTCAAGGATTTTAAACAACACAACATTTCTGATTAGTTAAAAAGGTATTTATTCTGCTTGTAAACTCAGTGCAAATATATACAGATGACAAATGAGGAAGTGTTTATGAAAGGCAGAGGATTCTGGAAATGTTGATTTCAAATTGAAAGACAGCAGCAGAACCCAGCATGGATGACCTGTGATTATTCACAGCAGTTGACGTGAATACCTTTTCCCCCTCTTAATAATCAATGATTTGCAAATACAGTACCATCACCTGCACTGTATTAATGCAGTAATTTAGGGCATTAAGGAATGCAATATCTGGCAGTTGACGAGATTGTGTTTTTTGGAAAATATATAACCTCAGTATTTTCATGAGCTGTTCAGCCCAAGGAGTACCTTGGGCTTCCTAGTTCATGCACTAAAAGTTTTTAGGAGTTGCACTGTACTTTTCAACTTTTGGTCAAATCATTTATTGTTAATGAGGCAAACAAAATCTCTGCAAAGGCAGGAAATGGCTGTTTCCTGTACAAGTACAAACACCTGTTGGTTTATTTATACTTCAATTTGTTTTTAAAATCAAGCCGCTAATTATTGTACCTCAATTAGACATGTAAAATGTAAAAGAATCCCAGCATCTGACTGTGACTCAACTCATTAAATGAAGATCATCTGCCATAAAACCCATTTGTGAGCTCTCAATGAGAATCACCTCAGATTTGTTTTCACTGCTCTGCATTGCAGGGAAAAACAACAGTGTAAACAGTTTGATCAACAGAAGAGTTGAATATTTACAGGGATATTCTCTTCTTCAGGAATGTAAATCACTATTGGCCAAAATGAGAATGTTTTAGACATTTATACTGTGCTACTAAAAATACAGGATTTAATCTAGCAACAGTTAAAGAATCACATGGCTGAGTTTATGATCCAATTAAAGCATGAAGGTCAGTTTGCTCCACAGTACACGCTATCATCATCAAATAAAATCACTTTGCAAAACGGACGGCAGAAGTAATTTCAAATGAAAAAGTTACATTCAGATGTGTTGGACGTTCCACATGGTAAGGTTGGAAGTCAAGTAGCAAGCAGGCCAGCACATTTATGTTCCAGTCAGCATGCCCTGTGCAAATCAATTCTCAAGTATAAAGGTGTAAGTCTGACTACATGCACAGCCTTCTTAAGTCCTAGAATTCAAGGCTAAAAGTCTTTAATGGACCCTGTTCTAAAAGGATTTTAACATTAGGCTGCATAAGAACTGATTTACTAATAGCAACACTTCCAGTGTAACTGAATAATATGTCTTAAAAGCCCAACTATTTCTCTGTACATAGTTATTTCTATAAAAAGCCAAAAGGTGCATGTACATTGATATCCAGTAGAAAGGGTACATATATTAAAAGCTTAATATTAAAGTGCATTGCCCAGTTCAAGAAAACAGTAACACAGTCTCTATGGTATTTGAGATATGCTGACAAATGCCAAAAAGATTAAACTGCAGGTGGGAAAACATTAAGACAGACATGGTGATTCAGAGCTCTTTAAAAAGGCAATTATTTGAGCAGACAATAAGAAATTTTCATATAGAGCCAAGCGCACACAACAAAATACACAAGAATCAAAGCCTTCAAAAATGCTTCCATGATGAAGCAAGGGCCATGTACTGTCAATTAACCGCCACATTGTTAAACTTCTGCCTATGTTCACATTCAAATATATCACTGGGCAACACAAGGCAGTGATGGTTACCTGCAAAATCTAGGTTCCTACATCCAGGTTTTACCAGCTCTTTTCAGTTTGGTGAACCTGAAATCCTATTCTTGTGGAAGAACTATAAAATAAATGTTTGGCTCCTGATTACTTGACAAGTCATGTGATAATTCAGCTGTTTTCTATTGCTTAACTCCATAGGGATCAACAGTAGGGAACTCTGGAATCATCGTTAATAATTAGATTGCATATGCAAACAACAGTAACATGACTGGCTCAGAGGTCAAATTACAAGATGTTTTTGAATTCATTCTATGTCCAATCAAACCACATACACAAAGTTCTGTTACCTGGCTGGCTGGATCACAGGACTATACTTTTTCACTAGCCATCTAACGTTATCTCCCCGTTAGACTGGGAGGGAGTAGTTTTAGATACTAGAGTGATCGTCACTATAGAAACCCTAGAAGAAGGAAGTTAGAATAGATGAAGAAAGCAAACTGTTATACTAGAAATCCATAGCCATAGCAGAAAAATTTCTAAATATTACAAATGAAGATATTAAGATTAAATTTGTAAAGGTGCCTCAATCTAGCCTCTATTCTTGGGTCACAAACTACTAGCATTTTAGGCATTTCTTTACCTAATTTGTATGCATCATTGACTTTGGGCACAGTAACAGTATTTGTATTACAGTAGTGCCCAGAGGTCCCAATGAGGATTGAGGCCAGTTAAGCTATGCAATGTACACACACACACATAGGAAGACTTAGTCTCTGCCCCTGAACAAGTAGAAACTGGGTCTTTAAAAATATGTCTTTTTGAATGAATGTAGCAATATATACTGTATGCTGACTTCATGTTTAATAAGCTCCAAGAATTCTCAGGGTAAATATTGATATCTGTCTCAGTCAATATTTATCTCTTGGGTTAGTTCCCTACATGTTCACCTATTCAAGAGTCAATACTTGCTTAATATCTCAAAGTGTGTACAAGGTATCTTCAATTATAAAGTCTACAGAAGGTACCATCTGGAGAATTTGCAACATTAGCAATTCAATATCGAGTTCCAATCTTATTTCACTCTTCCAAGAGCTTAAATCTGATTTGGAGCACACCATTCACACAGCCCTCAGAACAGCGTATATTTCAGAGACAGGCAAAAAGAATGAGCAGCATTTTTACTGGTAAAGTAATATGGAAAGTCTTACTGCTGAAAGGCAGCATATTCCATGATAAAAGGGGGCAGATTCAGGAGAGCTCCAGATTTTAAGTTTTGGAACATGCAAATATTCCTATTTGTAATAGAACATTGCTGAAAATATCTGACATTTTTGTGAAGTTACAGCTAACTGGAGCCACCCTAAGGTAATGGACTAGAAGAGATCTATTTGTTACAAGCAGAGCTGGGGCAAGTATACATTACAAAACCTGAAATCCTTTCTAGAAACTCACCTGGCTTTATATTTCATTACAAACTCAAGTGAAAAAAGCTTTGTGGAAAGGTTTCCTGAGTCCACGGAATCATTTTGGAGCACCCAGGACAATTCTTACAATTCTGAATCAAAAGCATGAAAAATTTACAATTTCACCTGAGTTTTGCTTTGAGATTGTAGTTCTGTTGGAACGTGCAACTTTAAGGAAATCTCAGAAAATGTGAACCACACATGAATAGAAACTAAAGGAAAAGTTTCAGCATCACACTGTGAAATGAAGCCACCCTGCTGCACACAGCTCTGGTTACAAGGTTTGTATAGGACACAGATGAAAAAGCTAGAACTTAGAATGGTGAAGAAGGTAATTTTCTTAGGTTTCAGTGATAAAAATAAAAACATAAGATGATGCAACCAGTTATTCAAATTCTGGCTATTTGAATCAGAGTTGTGTAATGTTCTGCAGAGTTTAAAGATTAGTTATGGTCAGCAAAGTGACTATGTTGACATCTTCTTACACAACCAATCTGCTGATTTTAGTGACTGAGGCCTTGCCTACCAAAATCAATCTAATCTGATCTTAAAACCTCAAAAAACAAGGATTCCATAATCTCCCTTGGAAGACTATTCCAGAGCTTAACTATGCTTATAGTTCGAATTTTTTTCTTAATATCTAACCTAAATCTCCCTTACTGCAGATTAGGCTCATTACTTCCTGTCCTACCTTCAGTTGCCATGGAGAACAATTGTTCACCATCCTCTTTTAACAACCTTTTACATATTTGAAGACTTATCAGGTCCCCCCAGCGACCACCCCCAAGTCTTCTTTTCTCAAGACTAAACACATCCAGTTTTTTTAGCCTTTCCCCATATGTCAGGTTTTCTAAAGCTTTTATAATTTTTGTTGCTCTCCTCTGGACTCTCTCTAATTTGTCCACATCTTTCTTAAAGTGTGGTGCCCTGAACTGGACATAGTACTGGACTTGACCTCTCCAGTGCCAAGTAGAGCATGACAGTTAGCTCCCATATCTTACATATGACACTCCTATTAATAACAATAAATGATAGTGAAACAGGAAAACATCCATGCAGGAATTTCATTAATAATTTTGGTCTATTAGTAGGTGATCTAAGTACATGTTGTTGATGCGGGTGTATTTCTAAATCCACCAAGCGTACCCATTCATCACTTATTTTACGAGAGTGAATACGTACTCTACACAATGGCAGTTTAGTTGACATGGGGTTGTTGTTTTTTGAGTCCTAATATCATTAAAAGCCTTGACAAGGTTCATAGTTGTTCAAAGAATGCTAGGGATATGACAGAAGCCAACTAAAGCAAATGGAATTACAGCTAAAAAAAACCAACTAAAAGGTGTTAAGTGAATGTCAAGGACAATTAAATTTTGTCCCTTGCTTTGGTGGGTGGAAGGGCCTGGGGATGCTGTCGAACCAGCAAGTTGAGCCTCTGAAGGGCAGGAGAATCACCTATTATTCTGCACACTGCCCTCACTGTTCATTGCTGGGGAAGGGAGTACTGGAGAGATAGACACAGCCTCAAGCAGAGAAAGGGATGGGAAGTGTCTACACAAAGGTGTTGCACAGATTTAAGTAGAAACAGACGTAGTTAATGTCTGTTGTAGACGAGCCCTGAGTCAGTTTCACTTCCAGATTTTTGTGCTGTAAAATCTAGAGTTTCAACCACTGAAGGGGACTGTTTCTGATTAAAAAAAACCTGTTTTCACTGGACTTTAAAAATGTACATTTCCATTGGTCTGAGGTTTTACAAAAGCCTGATTTTACTAAATTTTGGGCCAAATTTAAGTTCTATTTATCTAAACATCCCCATGTATCAGAGTGTCTAACAGATGCTGTCCCTTTAAATAATGTACTCGCAATTTCTTTATTTTACTTATGGCTTCTGTCAGATACTTTTTTTTTAAAGTTAAAAGATAATTAGTGCTAAGTACTACTGACCACCACTTGCTGATGAGGTATCACGCGATAATAGGGCTGAGATGCAAACTATTTTGACACTAAAATTGTTCCCAGCTTGTTTGGTTTGAATTCCTATAAGATAGTAACATTTTTTTTTTCCTTCTGATGGACAAGATAACGTAAGTTTTGTAGCTATTCTTGGCACTAAGACAATTCTCTATATAAAGCATTTCTAGTAGAGTATGCTGCAAGGCAAAGTGGATTTGTGCCAGCAAGTTGAAGGCAGCTTATTGGGTTGAAATGACTGACATACAGATCAGTAGTTACTGATGTGTAACTAGCAACAAAATACCACTCAATGGTATCCCCTTTTCTTGCTGGTCGCTTCTGTGCCACTTCCTACTGAATTAGGAAGGTGTTAGGTCAAACATTAATTAAGCCAAGTGCATATTATTTTATTTACAGCTCTTTTATGAGCCCTGCTTCTATTGCATGTTAAATGTGCCAAAATATTTAGTTTGCTTGCAGCTACCACTCTCATGGTTTGTAAAACTTTAAGCATGAACTAGCAAACTATATCTAAACACCCACTAAGTATTAAACCTCATCCGTCTGCAAAGGAAGAATGTAAACTTTTGAAAGACAATATAACTACTACACTGGCACTACACTCAACCTTAGCCTGAAGGGCAAAAAGACTCATGGCCCATTTTTAATAAAGTCTAATATGGACATTTTGGTGAGGTCAGCCAAATCATTTTTATTTTGCAGGTGCCTATGAAGAAAACTATGCTGGCATTTGCATGCTTTTGAGATTATAATTGGACAAATCTCAGGGGTTCTTTAAAGTTACTCATTTACCAGCCCCTGAGAACTGCAGATATATTCCTGTCCAAAGGCACTGAATAATGTACTTTAAAAACACACGTTGCCCAAACTGACCCCAATCAAAGGGGTGTAAAAAGTGCCATGTTTAATTTGCACAAAATAAAGCAGGTAGCAGCTATCTTTTGAAAGATATAAAAGATGGGGCTCTATCCATCTCTACCCTTAATATGGAGATGCAGTCTGCACAGAGTCCAGGTAGAGGAAGGATAGCACTGTGGTTACAGCAGCGTCCTGGGACTTAGGAGATCTATTTATTTTAGCAAATGCATATCTCAAAAGGCCTTCCACTTGGATTTAGGAAACATAATGATTAAGTTAAAAAATGCTACAAATATTTACTATAAATTAATCTTAAGAAAATAAAAGATTTATAAAACATAGTTTTTATACATGGCTTTCCAAGCAAATATGTACACTGTATACTCCACCACTTAGGAATTATTAGTCATTCCTGGGCATTTCCTTCCCTCTTGCCTAATAATTTCATCTTTACACTCTGAATCTGTTCTACTGCAGATTAGCTGATCAAATGTGATTATGTTACCAATTCCTATTGAAGTTCTCATCTTTCATAGCTTTCACTAGCCAGTCCCTTTCCTTCTCCTCGTCTGAGTCACTCTCATCACTAGGATCTGCAGCCAGGAGACGAGAATAATTAATTTTTTTCTGCCGAGGCAACTTAGACTGGACTATCAGGAACAAGATTAACCACAGTGCCAAACTTATAGAGCATGCCCTGTACAGAACTGCCAAGCCAAAGTTGCTCACAACAAATCCCCCTGCAAAGCTTCCCACGGTAGCTCCACAACCATGTGAGAGGCCCTGGAGGACAATGTGCAGAGCTCTCTCCGTCCCAGGACTGGCTACATCGTCAACCAACATATTAACTGCCCACCATAAGGCACCGTTGCTGAAGGCACACAACATCTGAGTAGGCAGTACTGACCACGCATTCCACAGGAACGAATAGTACAGAAGCTGTGCTGAAAGGCAGCCTAAACTCAGTGCAACAGTACCACTACTTGAGAGAGCCCTTAGTAACTTGCTTTTGAAGATATAAAGCAGAATTTCAGCAATCAGTCCAATAGCCACTGAGAGACCCATGTATAATTCACTACTGCCTCGGTCCTGCATTTGCCAGAAGAGAAAATTCTGCACAGTAGATCCAATGACTCCTGTAAGGAAGACGGTGACAGCAGAGAGAATTGTTCGGCCATCACTTCCAATGAGGTTCAGAGCTTTGACAGTTTTGTTCACATGCTCTGTTTTCTTGGAAACATGGATAGGAAGAAAGACACTGATGAGCAATGTGAGTGTGATCAGTACAGCATAGCCATAGAAGTGCACAGAGAGACGAGAGATTTTAGCACTGAGGAAGCAGTTCAACTGATCCACAAATATGGTGATACTGCAGGCTCCTCCAGATGCACCCAAATAACTCCAAACCCAAAGCTTCCCATATCTGTCAGTTGCGTCAACAAAGTCAAGATATTCATAAAGACTGTCATCAACCATCCATTCGAGAGGAGCAGCCAACAGCTCCCAAAACACAACAGCACCTAGCACCATGAGAAAAATCTGGTGCTCACGGTCAAGAAAGTTAATATCTTGTAGGAGCTCAAAGTTGACATCCCGAACTTTCTCAGGGTGACTCGACAGAGTCTCAAAAACATAAGAAGCTCGACCAGCAGGGTGAGGGTTTGTTTGAAATAAAGAAAATTCAGTACTTCCACCAATAGAAAGGTTTTTCTCAGGGTTACCATTCACATTCAGCAGCTCAACCTCTGGAGTTTTGCTTTCCTTCTCAAGCCTACGGATTTGTGTTTCATTTGAAGCGAGTGTCTCAAGTTCTTGTATCATCTGGTTAATTGCATTCATAGAAGCTATCTTGCCAGAAGGCCTATTATGGTAAAGGTCTGCAGTTGTGCCCACTTCACCAGTTCTTTCACCATTCTTCTTTTGTGCATCCATAAAGGTAAACAATTCTTGGAAAGCTGAACTTGTCAGCGGTGGCTTTCCACTCATCACCAAAACATTTGTAGCTGTTCTTAGTGTTTCTGCAGATACCATTTCTTTATTGGTAACAGTATTGGGATTTACAGCACTCAGATTGTTCAGACTCATGTCAGGCACCTCTACTGCATTCAGTAAGCTACTTGATTGCTGGCTTATATTACAATATTTGTACATGACATCCTTGCTCAAGGGTGGGACAAGTGTAAGCAGCAAACCGGTTCCCACTGAACACAGCAATGATCCAGTAATGAGAACTTTCCTTTTACTGTGGCTCTTTGCAAAGTAGGAGCATAGTGGAGCCCAGAGAGATGATATCAAGTGCTTAATTCCTATGATAATACCTACTAAAGGGGCTGTCAACCCCAGCTGCCGGAAGTAAAGAGTTAAAAATGGAATGACACAGGCGTTTCCTGCACTGTAAAAAAAATGGAAGAGGCTGGCAACAGCCAGCGCTTTGTTAACATCCCACTGTTTATTTGTACTCATGGCTTCAGTTGCATGCTTTTCGAATGGGACCTGAAAAGGAAGAAGACACAAAAACAAACCCTTTTTGAGTATTTCATAAATAATAAGTTAGAAGAGAAACAGGCTTTTTAGAAAGTGTCAAATATTTCACTACTTATAAGCCTGGCAGTTCAAATGCCAAGCTCTGAAATGTTTAAATTGAAAGTTTAAAAATGAAGTGAGCTCACAAAAAGAGGTTTGACTCATAGACTTTAAGGTATGAAGGGACCATTGTGATCATCTAGCTCTAGTCTGACCTCCTGCACATTGCAGGCCACAGAATCTCCCCCCTCCCCCATGTAATAGACCCCTAGCGTCTGGCTGAGTTACTGAAGTCCTCAAATCATAGTTTAAAGACTTCAAGTTACAGACATAAGAGATATTAGTCCAGATGAAACATAAGAACAGTCATACTGGGTCCATCTAGCCCAGTATCCTGTCGTCCAACAGTGGCCAATGCCAGGAGCTTCAGAGGTGAACAAATAAAACAGGCAACCATCGAGTGATCCATCCCCACGTCCACTCCCCGCTTCTGGGGGTCAGAGGCTAGGGACACCCAGAGCATGGGGCTGTATCCATGACCATCTTATCCAATAGTTGGGCCCCACCAAATCCACGACTGTGAAAAATGAGTCACGGACCATGAAATCAAATCTCCTCCGTAAAATCTAGCTATTGGAGGGAGAGGGGCAGGGCTGGGGACACCCCAGCCGGGGACTCCTACCAGGCTCTAGCTGCTAGTCCCAGCAAGGCTGCAGAGGGACAGGATTTCCTCTTCCCCTGCACAGCTGCTCTCGGGGGGAGATCAGACCCAGCTCTGGGTACCTCCCCCAGCTGCAGGAAGCTCCATGGTGCCAGCCTTCAGAACCCAGCTCTGAAGGAAATGCACAAGTGAGGGTGGCAATCCAGTGACCCTCCCCTACAACAGCTTTGTGACCCCCTATGGCCCCCTTTTGGGTCAGGATCCCCATGGTTACAACATAGTGGAATTTCAGATGTAAACATCTGAAACTATGGAATTTACTGATTTTAAAATCCTAGGACTATGAAATTGACCAAAATGGACCTTGAATTTGGTAAGGCCCTAATAGCCACTGATGGACCTGTCCTCCATGAACTTATCTAATTCTTTTTTAAACCCCATTGTAGTTTTGGCCTTCACAACCTCCCCTGGCAAGCAGTTTCACTGGTTGACTGTGCGTTGTGTGAAGAAGAAACTGCTTTTGTTAGTTAGTTACAAACCTGCTGCCTATTAATTTCATTGGGTGACTCCTGGTCCTTGTGGTACATGAAGGAATAAATAATACTTCCTTATTCACTTTCTCCACATCATTCAAGATTTTATAAACCTCTATCATATCCCCCCTTGGTTGTCTCTTTTCCAAGCTGAAAGTCCCAGTCTTTTTAATCTCTCCGTATATGGAAGTGGTTCCATATACTTAAATCATTTCTGTTGCCCTTCTATGTACCTTTTCCAATTCTAACAAAACAAATGGTAACAAAACAGCACAAAGTTCAGATACTGTCCCCATTCCTCAGTTTATTATAATAGAGCTAAAAGACACTTAAGAAATGCTATCATCATATCTAGTATTTGTGATCTAGCCAGTTTTGCAGCTACACTTTTGAAAAACTCCACTAACCGTACTTTGTTCTACATCGAGGAGGAAAATCATCTCAAATTCATTGTATTTTGTGCCAGAAGCACTTTTCAAACTGTTTATAGATTTATGATACCTGGCGCTCCATGTAAACTCTGAAATTTCCTTTAACAAATCCTCACCGTACACACATTTGAATTTTCCTAAAAAAGGAGACAACATATTTCTGTAGCTCTGCTGGGGATTAGATGCATCAGGAAATGTTTTAAATTCTCCACACCCAGCAGCTAGCAGGGCAGAATGATACTGTAGAAGGAGGTATACTTAGATTTCAGAGTACGGAGAATTATTAACATAGTATATACTATTTGTTTAACAGTGGCAGCATGAAGGTTTCCAAGACAAAATGGTAAATGAATGGCACAAAGACTCTGTACTGGTAAGTGATAATGCATGTGAGTAAGCAACTTACACAATATTTCTATGGTGCTGGGATCAGGAAGCAGTGTGTGAATCTGGTCACACTTACATCACTGTGAATCAGAAATAATTCTATTAATCAAAGAGTTATACAGTTGTGTGCAAAAGAGAGACCAGACTCGGGCCCAGACGTACTCCAAGACTATTGCTGCTGGATACTGGGAACACAAGTCCCTAATCGGTTTCCTGTTCTAAGGAGAATTATACAGGGATATGGCACACAGGTAAGCACCGGACCAGGGCTCCCTAGGGAGGCTGGGGGATCATAGAATCATAGAATATCAGGGTTGGAAGGGACCTCGGGAGGTCATCTAGTCCAACCCCCTGCTCAAAGCAGGACCAATCCCCAACTAAATCATCCCAGCCAGGGCTTTGTCAAGCCTGACCTTAAAAACTTCTAAGGAAGGAGATTCCACCACCTCCCTAGGTAACGCATTCCAGTGTTTCACCACCCTCCTAGTGAAAAAGTTTTTCCTAATATCCAACCTAAACCTCCCCCATTGCAACTTGAGACCATTACTCCTTGTTCTGTCATCTGCTACCACTGAGAACAGTCTAGATCCATCCTCTTTGGAACCCCCTTTCAGGCAGTTGAAAGCAGCTATCAAATCCCCCCTCATTCTTCTCTTCCGCAGACTGAACAATCCCAGTTCCCTCAGCCTCTCCTCATAAGTCATGTGTTCCAGTCCCCTAATCATTTTTGTTGCCCTCCGCTGGACTCCTTCCAATTTTTCCACATCCTTCTTGTAGTGTGGGGCCCAAAACTGGACACAATACTCCATGTGAGGCCTCACCAATGTCAAATAGAGGGGAACGATCACATCCCTCGATCTGCTGGCAATGCCCCTACTTATACAGCCCAAAATGCCATTGGCCTTCTTGGCAACAAGGGCACACTGTTGACTCATATCCAGCTTCTCGTCCTCTGTAACCCCTACGTCCTTTTCTGCAGAACTGCTGCCTAGCCATTCGGCCCCTAGTCTGTAGCGGTGCATGGGAGTCTTCCGTCCTAAGTGCAGGACTCTGCACTTGTCCTTGTTGAACCTCATCAGAGTTCTTTTGGCCCAATCCTCCGATTTGTCTAGGTCCCTCAGTATCCTATCCCTACCCTCCAGCGTATCTAGCTCTCCTCCCAGTTTAGTGTCATCTGCAAACTTGCTGAGGGTGCAATCCACACCATCCTCCAGATCATTAATGAAGATATTGAACAAAACCGGCCCCAGGACCAACCCTTGGGACACTTCACTTGATACTGGCTGCCAACTAGATATGGAGCCATTGATCACTACCTGTTGAGCCCGACAATCTAGCCAACTTTCTATCCACTTTATAGTCCATTCATCCAGCCCATACTTCTTTAACTTGCTGGCAAGAATATTGTGGGAGACCGTGTCAAAAGCTTTGCTAAAGTCAAGGAACAACATGTCCACTGCTTTCCCCTCATCCACAGAGCCAGTTATCTCGTCATAGAAGGCAATTAGATTAGTCAGGCATGACTTGCCCTTGGTGAATCCATGCTGACTGTTCCTGATCACTTTCCTCTCCTCTAAGTGCTTCAGAATTAATTCCTTGAGGACCTGCTAGGTCATCTAGTCCAACCCCCTGCTCAAAGCAGGACCATCCCCAATTTTTTCCCCCAATCCCTAAATGGTCCCCTCAAGGATTGAACTCACAACCCTGCATTTAGCAGGCCAATGCTCAAAACACTGAGCTACCCCTCCCCCCGAAAAAAAAAATCCGCAGCCACATGCAGACCGACCCCCCGACCACACCCCAGCCCTTTCCGCCCTCCCCTCGCAGAGCGTGGGGTGGGAGTCCAGGTGGGTGGAGGCGGGAAGGGGCAAGACAGGCCCCGGCCTTTCAGCCCCAACGCAGAGAGGGAGGCAGGGTAGCTCCTCTCCTTCCTGGGCTTCCCATGGACCGGGGGCGGTTGGGGCGGGGGGGGGGCTGGCATGGGGGTACTGAGGGGGGCATGGGCATCCTCAGAGTCCTTCCCTCCTCGGTGGTCCCCCTTCCGCCCTTCCCGGGGCCCCCTCATGGGCATCCATGGGCCGCCTCAGGCCACACAAGTCTTTGAACCACCACCTTCCACGGACCGTGAGGCTCGCGGAGAGTGCTAGATACCTGGCTCCTGGGTGAGGGAAACGGTTCCAATCCCTCTGGGTTGTCCCCCGCCGCCGCTTCCAGCCTACGGGGTAGGGAGGCGAGCGACAGACGGCACGCGGAGTGGTGCCCGGCACCCGCCAACTGGCTCCGCATTACCTCGGGGGGGCATCGTCCCAGAAGGCACACTGGGAAGCTGCTGCCAAGGCCTCACCCCACTCCCAGGGATCCAGGGTTTCCCTCTCTTCCCAGCGTGCCTGGGAGGCAAACATGACTGGGGCCACCGCCGTTTTTGCGTCCACCCCGCATGCACCATCCCGGCCGCACACCCCACATTGAGCTCCCTGTCCAGTGTTGGTCGCCCAAGGCCCGGTCCCTGTCATTCCCCACACGCTGAAGCGGTGTGGAGAACTGTCCCAGCGACCGGGGGCAGACTGCACAGGCGGGCAGCATCTCCGAGAGGGCGGGCGGCTCGGGTATAAGCACGGAGGGGATGGTGCGACGGTGGCCCAGCAGCGGACCAGCACGGATGGAGGAGACCCCCCTCCGCCGACCTCAGCCCTGGCCCCTCCCAGCTGCCTGGGAGGAGGGCACAGAGCAAGTGCGGAGGGGGCGCCCGGCCCTCCACGCGCCCAGGACCCCGCCGCCGGGGTCCCCTCCTGCACGTGGGGTGGCGTCTGAGGCCTCAGTCGTCAAGCTGCAACGCCATCGGGGGACCCCGAGCCTCTCTGGAGCCGGATCTCTGGAGGTTTCTAAGAACAGGTTGGACAAACACCATCAGGGATGGTCCAGGGTCACTAGGTCTGGCTTGGCGGAAGGGGGTGGGGGGGCTAGACGAGATTACCTCTCGAGGCACCCTCCAGCCCCCCATTCCTGGTTGTAAGATGCGGAGTGATGGCAGCTCTTCCACCCACCCATAGGGCAGGGCAGGGGCACCACGGCTGCCCCCCATGTCCCTGCTCTGCAGGGACAAATGCCCATTGTCAACCCAGCCACTGGGCCACCAGGGAGAGCCCCGCCAGCCAGCCAGGGCCACCAGGGGCCTACTCTGAGCTAGGAACAGGGGGCCCTGCCAGCCAGGTCCCACGGGTGGGGGTGGGGGCTCCCCCCACGGCTCCTCATCCGTGGGCGACCTCCCCTCCCGCCGGGCAGGCACCTAGAGACCAGCCCCCCGCCCCTGGTCCTGTACCTGGGGGTTGGCGCTTCACACGCTGCGCCGTACGGGCTCACCCCGGCCACGCACTGCGCACGCGTCACCTGCGCGGGCGTGGCCCCGCCTCCTGCACCTGCCGCGGGCGGGCCCTCGCTCGCGCCCCTCCCGACACCTACCCAGGGGGCCGGGCTCGGCTGCCGCCCGACCCCACGGACCACGCGCGGCGGCCTCGGCAGCGAGCGGGCTGCTGCTAGGAGACGGCTCCCGCGGGCTAGAGGGGCCGGCAGCGGGAGGGGCAGGGGGAGAGCGCAGCGCCCCCTGCTGGAGGGGAGAGCGAACTGCAGCCCGGACCCGCCCGACTCCTTCTGCCCTCCCCTTCTTCTGCTCCACTTCCCCTTCAGGCCCTTCTCCCCTCGCATCATCCCGCCCCCTTCCTCCACATGACCTTCCCCACCCCATCACATCGCCCATCCCCCTTTCCTTCCCCCACAAGCCTTCCCCCTCACACCACCCCTCCCCCTTCCTCCATAGGACCTTCCCCTCCCTAGCACATTGCCCATCCCCCTTCGCTTCCCCCGCAGGCCCTTCCCCCCTCACACCACCCCTCCCCCTTCCCTTACCTTCCCCCGCAGGACCTTCCCCTGCCCATCACATCACCCTTCCCCCTTCTCCTCAGGACCTTCCCCCCACACACCACTCTTCCCCTCTTCCCTTCCCCCCTCACATCACCCCTTCTCCTTCCCCCACAGGACCTTCCCATCACATCACCCCTCCCCTTTCCTTTTCCCTTCCCTCCCCCACAAGACTTTCCCCTCCCCCTCCCATCACCCTTCCCCTCCCCATTACATCACCCCTTCAGCCACAGCCCTTCCTCTCCCACCTCCCCGCCCTTCTCTCAGTCCAGCTGAGGCCTGGCGGAGGATGGGGTGTTGCAGGCCATCATCCCCCCCCCCCCCCAAGACAGTTCAGAGGATGGTGTTTGCCCCTCTCTCTCTGCTGGGCCACCTGTGTTAGGACCAAGGGCAAGCACCAAGGGCAGGAGTGGTGCTACTGCCAGGCCAGTAGTAGCATTGACCCCCTTTGAACTGGGTCTGTCCCACTGGCTTCAAGCAGGGGCAAGGACAGGATCTAGCCTGGCCTATGCTAAGGTATGACAGGGAACCATACCAAGCACCGGGGAGAGCAGCAGGCACCCACCTCTGGGGTATGGCAGGGTAGCCTGAGTGATGATAGTCCCAGTGGTCACTTGCAGCCTTTGTGTGGGGTCAGCAGGTGGCCCGGGTCCACGGGTGGAGATGACAGGCTCACCAGTGCAGTGTGGCCGGTGCTAAAAGTGGGATGCCTGTCAAAATCTAGGAGCAGCAGCTTTGGTAAGATAGTGCTTACAGTGCAACCCTCAGCAACCTGGCTCAGTTAAAAACATTTTTTTTGCTGGGTTTGTCACCCTTTATGCCCCTTCCCTCCTATTCTACACACATATTAAGCACTGAGTGTGGCCTCTTCAGAGACAGCAGCTTTGTGCACTCCACAGAGACAACAGGTCCGAGCACTCACTGAGACCTTGTGATCCATACTATATGTTTAATAAATGAGGGTAGCCCATAGGTGATAGCACACAGTAGACCATCACGTGCAAGAACCCGCTGTCTGCATGGATCAACATGTATTCTTGCATGGTGGGACCTCTAGCGACTGTAGATTCTACTTCTGTGTTAAAGAAGAGGGGCGTCTCTGTAGGGCCCTTTCTACAGCTTTGATGACTATAGGTTAGCCACCCCCACAATAGACAAACCCATCATTTTAGACAAGCAACGCTGGGGGGGAGACCCTGCTAATCTTACTTATTTACCTCCTTATCTTTTGATTTCTCCATTTTCCCATTGCTAGAATTTAGCTCTAGTAAATTATATTCTTGTTTAGCAGCACGTGACCAAAATCTGGGATTCTAGTGGCATTAGGCTGTCTTTGGTTTGGGAACATTTTCTCTAGAGCTGGTCAAAATTGTTCATTTTCTAAATGAAAAATTTTGACCCTTTTTTTGCTTTTTAATTTTATCATTTAAGACGAAAAGTTGATTTTCAAAAACAAGATTGAATCTGAATTTTTTAACAATACTTATAATTTTCTGATCAGCTTGTTTTGAGGCTGTATTTGGCTGGCTTGCTGGATAAGGCCCAGGACTGGTCAGAAAACTGGGTGGCCTTTGGCAAGTCACTTAATCTTTCCATGCCTCTGTTTCCTGAACTGTATAAATGGGGGTAATGACACTTATTCAACACAGTTAAACACATTCAGATCTGATTTGAAGCAGTGCAAATAGCGATGCCTATAGTTAAAGGTGGTTTGAAGCATTTGATTATAAAACCCTGTTTTCCGTTGCTTATAACTTTGCTCAACCTTAACCATTTAGCTGAAATTGTGAGCTGACTTTTTCCATGCTAGCTGTCTGCCTAAGGCTGAAGATTTTTTGGAAATTTTTAGCAAAAATACTTCTCCTATTTCTCAGAAAGAATTTAGGGGAAAGTATTATTTTGCCCATGTTGAAAAATTCTGAAAACTATTTTGCTGAGAAATCCTAATGCTTCTATTCTTTGGAGCAGGGAGATGAAATTTGTCCAGAGGGTCATCTTTGGTGTCAGGGGGATGTTCCTTTTGCTGTCCCCCTGAAAAAACGCCCAAGTTTGGCAAGAAGCACACATGCTCAAACATGTTCCAACAAGCAATTTTTTTTACTTTGGAACTTGAACTGAGTCACATATGCTGTGCGTGTTCATGTCAAGGCCAAAAACCCTAAAACCCTACATTTTATTTGTTGTGTGAATATGAACAAAAGTATTCTGCTAGCTCCTACAAGCCTGATTCTGTTCTCACAGGATTTACATTTCCCCTCTCACTCACCTTTTCACAAAACCATTGTAAAGTTCCAACACCCACCGGTTTGCTTTAGGTTCTATACTAGTCCTCTCCTCCACAGAGCCTGAGATGCTTTGACACAGATATGTCTGCTGTACACAGCAATCACAAACGGAGATTGCTGAACAGAACACAAAGTTCATCAGCTATAGGCCAGGGATTCTAATCCTATAACAAGGCAGACTGGGCTTTGATTTTATCTGACTCCCTGAAAATCTCTCACACTCTCAATCTCCTCCCCTCCTGGATGAGGATCAAAAAACCCACAAAAGCCTGTATTGCTTTGGCCAACAGAGGGTAATTCTGAAATCAAATTAAATACTTGGCTTAGGATAATTCTGGAAATGATGTCACAGGCTGGCTGGATGTGCAGCAAACCTCTTTCAGCTTGAAGGTATGGGCGGTGGGCTTCCATCAGAGCCACTTACCCCTCTACACACTGATTCCCCACTCACCCCCACCCCCACACACAGTGTTTGCAATGTAAAGAAATCTCAGATAAATGGAATTATAATAAATTTCACCCAAAGATACTTGTATCTTTTTTTTTTTTATTTAAGAGAGTGTATTTGCAACCCTGGAAAATACTTTTCATATAGGAGTCTTATTTTTCCTACTATACATTGCATATTAAGAAAGTGATCTTGCATTTTTACAGTGCTTTCCATCCAATTGGACCCCTAAGTGCTTTGCATATTGTGCTGTTTACACAAAACTGTATTTGCAAGAGTAACTTTATCCGCTATTGAAATGCAGCTACCTCTAGGATAGAATTTCAGCTACTGTTAAAAACCACAAAGCAACACAATCTAGCTCTTTAAGACAGGAAACAAGGAATAGCCTATCCAATTGAAATTACAGAGGGAATTAAGACAGAGAGAATATGGCTACTCCAAACTGAAATTGACCAGCATACCAGGTTTAGTACTATGGAATTTTCAGTTATCACAAAGAGTCACAGAACAGCATTCTGTAACAGCTTGCCGGTGTTTTGGACCAGCACTGACTCAGAGGGAAGTACCTGTCATCTTCTTAAAAAGAAAAACCACAAAAATCACACACCATCCCTCATCACTGAATTGCAGCTTAGAACCCATCAGAATTGATTGAGTTGGAAATGAGGCTATGGTGGCATTACACTTTCACTCATTTTGAGAGACCATTATTAGCTTCTGTTCTCTTTAGGTCTTATACTGAGCTCATCACCATAGTATTTAACTGTTCTAAGGTGCCTGTTGAATGGATAGGCGCAAAATTGTCTGATTTGGGTGGTGTATGTACGTAGCAAGTTCAGGCAGCTTCCCTGAAATAGGAAGGAGAGTTCTGGCTGAGTAGGAGGGAGCTGAGCATCATTTCAGTGGGAGTATTAAATATTGATGGGGTTTTTTTTAACATTGATGTCACTGATTTATTTAAGGAGCTGTGCAGTATGCTGCTGGTGATAAATCTTTCAGAGGCCAACCTCATCCAGCTGTAACCGTGTTCTGGAACTGCAAAGTCTTTTACTACATGTATTTCTGCTGTTAAGTCCAGTTCACACGTGGAATGTCACAGCTGATGGAAAACATGGGGAAGGCTTGAATTCTCCACCTCCACTGTGAAAATGTTCTACACAATAATTTGTATTGCCTTGTGTAATTTCTAACATGACTGCCTCAGTGATTAGCTTCTCTCAGGAGTGAGGCTTTTTGGGGCAGGATGTTCTATGAGAAAGAGATGATTCTTTCATATGTTGTTTAATAATTCACAGTTGATGAGCCTGTGCTTTTTGTCTTTCAACCAACCAAATCTGCCCTGTCTTAAAGAAGGAGCAGGTAGTTTTTATGAAATAATTACAGAAGGAATATTCAGATTCCAGACTAATTGTTCCGATGGACAGCAGGGGATCCTCCTCTTGGGAGGTGAAATAAAAATCACAATACTGATGTAACTGTTCTATTTATTGAATAATCCACTCGGAATGAACAACAAGGAGTACTTGTGGCACCTTAGAGACTAACAAATTTATTTGGGCATAAGCTTTTGTGGGCTAAAACCCACTTCATCAGATGCATGGAGTGGAAAATACAGTAGGCAGAATATATATATACACAGCACATGAAAAGACGGGAGTTACCTTACCAAGTCGGGGGTCAGTGCTAACAAGACAATTCAATTAAAGTGAAAGTGGGCTATTCT